CTAATACAGGGTGTCATGCATCACCGTGCCCATTGGATGTTTTGCAGTTAGGGGGCTTTCCGACTGGGTGCAAATGGCGCATCCCGGATACCTATCCGCCTTCGGAGTAACGGTGGACTTACCGCAGCACGGGACTCTGCTCTGGCCGAACGTTCTTTCACCTTACCTTTATGCTCGGTCGCCAAACAGTTTCGGCTCAGTAGGCGAATAACGAACTGAAAAAATGTTGACTGATGGGGACAGCCAATATAATTTAACCTAACCTAAACTATATGGGGCCAAGACATGGACGATTTCGAAAAAAGAAGTCACAAGGGTAATGGTTTTAGTTATTTATTTATTCATTTAAAAAAAAAAAACATCAAGCCCGGTATCTGTACCAAAGAAATAGTTACACCTTGTGGATCACATGTGAGTTCTCTGCACCGAAAATGTGGCAGTTATAGCGACTATAATCGTAAACTTCTTCTTTATTCTTATTTGGCACTACAGCCATTTGTTGGTCAGGGCCTAGACCAAAAAGCGTCTCCGAGTGCCTCTCTCCTGTGCGCCAGTTGCTCATACTGAGCGCAGACAGGTCCTGCTGCAATTGGTCCTTGCTTTCGCTGTCCACCTATCTATAATTATCAAAGCCAAAGAGCTTGGGATGCTTTTGCTCGAAAAACTTGCTTTCATTTTTAGATATTGTTCAGCAACGAAAACTCGTGGTTCTATCGTTTAAGTGCTGCTTTGCTATTAACTCTTAAGTGACAGCTGTCATACTGCATTTTTTTTTTGGTTGACGACACTTTATTACAGAATTGGCCATAAATTCAAACCGTTAGAAAATTTTCGGGCAACTAAATGCAGGAAGCTAAAGTAAATTATAAATGTAATTACTTCGAAAATATCTTTTTTATGACTCCAAAAAAAAAATTAAGAAACTCTCACGCACTCAATACATATACATATGTAGAAAGAACTCACATGCATGCATGTACGGGCGCTTGTGGCACGACTAGAATGAATAAATATATGGGTCAGAAGTAAATGGTGGGGGAGGGGGAATTATTACCTTCATACATACATGCGTTAGAAATGTACATATGTACAAATATGCATATAAAGTAAACTTGATTCGATTCAAAATTCACTTGATTTTAATACATCACATAAAACATATGTATGTATGTATGTGCATACTTTAGTATATATCTACATGGAAATACGTAAGGCTATAATTTTCATTCGTTCGTCCATTCGGGCCCTACACACCACTTAACCGTTCAAGCGGAGGGGGTTCGTAGAAAAACTTTAAATAAATACATTTTATAATGGTGGGAAAATTTTAAAAACTAATCCATTGTTATTTATCGATTTCAGTAAGTGAATGAAATTTGTCGCTATGGCTGGTTTTTTTTTTAGTTTGGTCATTGTGTGTAAATTTTAAGCCAGTCAGTTACTTAAGTGCCGCAGAATATAAAGGATGTACTGAAATTTGATGAAAATATTAATTATTAAAAATAAAATTAACAAGGTTGTGAAAATTATTACTTACATTTTTTAAGTACTTGCCTGCAAAATGTGTAGTTTAAATGAAACTAACGGTAAGGCTGCATTCAAATAATATGTGAGCTAAATAGAGCTACAGCTGATACACACTTTGGTTTAACATTGCGGAAGATAAGCAATCAACACTGAAGTATTTAAAAGATTTAAGCACTAGATTACTTCTGAAATCTTAACTTCTGTAAAAATTGTTGCATTGTCTTTGGAAATTTAAAAATTGTGACATATTCTCTAGCAATGAGTTACAAATAACTAAAACCAAAACTATGTTGTGAGGTACGAAAATTAAGTAGGTTAAATTACACCGTGCAACAAAAACAAAAAAAATTTCAAAACACAAGAAAAAAAATTTATTTACTCACGAAACTGGGTGCCGAATTTGGTAAAACTACGTTTTTGGTTGTCCTCTCTCGAAGTCAGGATTTTTTTTTTTTAAGGACCTTGAGATTCCAAAGATGTAATTGATTCAAAAAATTAATTAAAAAATCCAATGCAATGTGGAATAACGATATAAATAGGTATCAAATGAAAGAAAATATTTTTATACCCGAGCGCACTTGTGCACAAGGGTATTATAACTTTGTTCACATAACGGTTGTTTGTAACAGGCAAAACGAATCGAGATAGATATAGACAAATGTATACATAAATGATCAGGATGAAAAGAGAAATCGATTAAGCGGTGACTGTCTGTCCGTCCGTCCGTCCGTCCGTCCGTCCGTCGTCGTCCGTCTGTGCACACGATAACTCGAGTAAAAATTAAGATATCTTAACGAAACTTGGTACGTGTACTTCTTTCGGGCGTAGGACGGATGGTATTGAAAATGGGAAAAATCGGACAATAACCACGCCTACCTCCCATATAACGGTAATTTTCAGAAATACGAAAACTGCGATATTTTAGTAACTACTGAAGATTATTCACTCAAAATTGATATTTACAATAATTTTTAGACGAAAAATAAGAATATTATAAATTTTTGGAAAATGGGCGTGGCACCGCCCACTTATGATCACATATATGTATCTCGGTAACCGTTCTACCAATTTGTACCAAACTCGGTATTTTTATTGTGCTTGCTACATAAAAGCAAAACGATGAAAATTATTGAAATCGGACTAAAATTATGGCTTTTCATGTAACGGTAAATTTTAGAAATGCTTTAAACGTCAATATTTTGAAATTTAAGGACGCTAATTTACTCAAAATTGATACACCTGGGCTTACCATGTAGCGGTAGCTTTCGGAAAGGTGAAAATCATATATTTAATATTTGCGCCGGGTATTTAATGTTCGGCTCCGCCCGAACTTAGACTTTCTTACTTGTTAAAATTAAATTTGGTACATTTTTATTTTTTTTTACCTACTAAAGTTGATGGGACGAAATTCCAGGAAGTGAACTTGTGTACATAGTCTTGAATATATATATTTTTTTTCCAAAATTATTATTGCAAATTTTTAAGTATTTTGATGGATAAAATTTTAGAAGGAGTTTTCAAAAACCTTTTCGTCCTCGTGCACAACAAAATTGTTTCCTTTAATTCTACAGAATTTTCTGTTTTATTTGATACCCATATTCTTATGGCCTTATTCATAAAAAATAAAGTAGGTTTAAAGAGCTTTATAAATTGACGTTTTAATACATTTTTCAATTAATAAACCTTTTATAGAGCTACTTTTTTTATGAATAAGGACATTATTCTACATTGTGCCATTTTTTTTAAATAATTTTTGCAATTAATCATATTTTTGAAGTTTCCAAGTCCTTAAAAAAAAACCAGACTTCAGAGAGAAATAATAAAAACGCTGTTATACATATAGTTGACCCCTTCTTGCTTGTGTGCAAATTTTACGGTTGCACAGTATTACTAAACGAGTACATTTATGCAAGTCATGCGAAACTGAATGTGGACAGCGTTTTGCAATACCAAAACAAACAGCCGTTGATGGTTACATTTTTATAGTGGTTGTAGGCATCGACTGATAGAAAGGATTTCCTTGTCTGACTCTTAAAAACGCACTTATGTTATATTCTGGTCAATACTAGGCTAAATACATAACTGAAATGGGTTACAGAGAAAACAAAGCAAGCGAGATGGGAGGTTAGTTGTCTAACATATATACTAGTTTGTAAATCTAACCTAAAAAAAGGAAGTAGTTCCCCTCCCCTTCCCCCCAATAAAAATATATATTTTTAAGTTTCATTAAATTTTTTTAGCATCTCAACCACTTTGTGGTGTATGTATGTCTTGATGTTGAAACACAAATTGAGGCCCCTAAATTTTGACGCCATTTCGAACAAAAAAAAAATTTGTTTGGGAAGCCCTTTGTGACAGAAAAAACTACACTCTAAGATTTACTGCTGCTTATGAAATTTAGATAAGCATGAATTTTGTTCACTCGCAATTCAGCCGGTGAGTTAAATGTTCTCCACCTATTTTCTATCACGTAGTCTATGGCCTTGAAAACTGCAAATATCACGGCTGGAAATACCGACGCTTATTCTCCAAGCGAGCAGTGAAGATTTTCCATATTACATTCGGGAACTCAACATTATAGTATCTCTTCAGCAAAGGCAATTTTGGCGTACTAACATATGACATTAAAAAAGGCATTACCGTCTAGATAAATGGCAATTTCTGGCAATTTCCACCAAGCGCTAATTTCTTAAAAACCTACAAGTAACCTTAAAAATTCGTCTTAAAAAATTGTAAACCCACTCACATGTTGTGAGTGCGCAGAGAGGCCTGTTACTATTTGTTAGCCTTGAGGAGAGCCCGCGTTAGGGTTCCATGGAATGGAACACATAATTTTGGATTTTTTTCGGATCTTCTTAATTACGAAAATGCATCTGTCAAGTGCAGAACAAAAACGTATTCAAACGAGAAAATTTCCAAAAATAAATCTGTTCGAAGTACGCAAAAGACCGTTGGCGCCAACTGTTCGACATATCTTCTACGGAAAACAAAACCTCTTTTAGAGCTAGTTTTGCAAAAATGATAGTCAGAGCCTTAAAATGCTACAAAAAATTTAATTACTGATCATCGAAAATGAAAATTCTTAGCGAATTAAGGGAATGCGTGAATATATACATAATGTTTCACGAAGAAATATAAAATTTTGCGAAGAAGAAGAAACTTTAGCTTGCTATAAAAAAGTGGTTGTGAGATGAAGCAAAATGCTTTGGCATATTAAGAAGTTAATATTTTTAAGAATATCAATTACATTTGTTTTATAGACATATCTCTAAGAATATGTCTTCTCTTTTCTGTCATGTGGCCCCATATAGAAACTAGTCATACGGATCGCCTTTCTAAATCTGGAAGCTATATTTTTTATTCGTTTGATTTACCAAACTAAATATTTGAAATAAAAAATTGGTGACTTATTACAGTTTTAAACGTTCTTGTACGTGATAAAAATCTCGCTCAGTATTCCTACTGCTTGAAAAATGCCTCTCGCGTCACTTTTTTCAGAATCTCCAGAGCCGAAAACCCAAAACGGCTCAGCAACCTCATTAATTAACTCCATCAATGGCGATTGTTCTGGTGAAAATAGGCAAGAAATGGGTGGCGTTGGAGCTAATGAAATCAATATTGTACCTGATTGCACAATAACCACAATCAATAGCATTGACCAAACCGCCAATAAAACTGCAAGCACGAACAAAGCAGTCGTAAACAATTACCAAAGCAATGCTTCAACAACAAGCGTTAGCACTAAATATACAACAACAACAACAAAAACGATGAATTCGGTGCACAATACACTCAGCTCATCATCGTCTAACTGCAATGAGCCGGTTGAAATAAGCGCAACGCCAACACCAACACCAACACCAACACCAACACCAATTACTGATTTCTATCGAAATGCCACCATTCTTATCACTGGCGGTACCGGTTTCGTTGGAAAAGTACTCACACAAAAATTATTGCGTGCATTTGAGTTGCGTAAAATATATATGTTGATTCGTTGTAAAGATAATATGAGTGTGGAGCAGCGCTTGGAGAATTTCTTCAGCGAATCGGTGGGTATAAATGTTATTATTTATTTATTTACTTATATGAGTGCTAAGTGTATGTTTGTACATACATATATATATTTTTATAGACTTTTAATGTAGTTTACATAAATACATACTCATCTGTTTAATACATTTATATATATATATCTTGTCTTATTTTCGACAGATCTTCGACACTATACGTGCCGAGCAGCCAGATTTATTTCGAAAGGTGCATCCCGTTCGTGTGGATTACGGCGCTATTGATTTGGGCATTATCTCAGAAGATAGAGAGATTTTATGTGAAGAGGTGGAGGTTAGTTGCTTAAATAGTTTTGAAATGAATTTGCTGTGTATATTTATTTGATACCTTTCCTTTCACATGAGTGAACTTAATTGGCACTATATACTTACATCTGGCTCCCGAAGTCTTCTTTCAGATCGCTTTCTCGTTGTTGTTATTGTAATAGTATACAAATATATCCATAACTGTTTTGAGGTGACAGACCTTGGCTATATAAAAATCTTGTTTCTTACGATAGACGATAGACGCGACTGTTGTGGGAACTAGCGCCCTCTAAGGCCGAGGCCACGCAATGAGCGCGGCAAAGCGGCGAGTGGTTGAGCGGCTTAATTAAAACATAAGAAATTCTATTGAAGTGGCCACGCTATGAGCGGCATTTCTGAGCGGCTGGGCGACACATTTGTATGGCGCCGTTCAGCCGCTCAGCCGCTTACCACTTTGTCGCTCATTGCGTGGCCTCGACCTTAGGCCTCAATCAGACTGCATAATAATTAAAAATCTTTTAGAAAACAATAGTAATGAAATATTATTTTACGAAAAATACTTTTTTATTCTAAACTGACCAATATTCTTACGATTTTAGTTACACAATTCAATAATCTAAATTATATACTATATATATGTACTATATGATTCTAGGCAAATTTAGCACACCTACTGCTGGCATTTCAAGGATGGTCAGAAAAATGTTGATAAATAAAGGGGACGCGGCATCGCCTATACAAATTTTAATTTCCATAATACAAACATATCTTATGCTTACCACACACGAAGAAATCGAAGCAACTAGGGCAACATGCTTCGACCGTTCCCTCGTGTGTAGCATTGTTACTCATAGAAATTCGTGTTAGCGCAACCGTCGCCCTAAAATCAGAATATTTTGATATTTTGTATTGGTTGCCGTGTCGGTTTCCTTGGTTTTGGTAGACCCTACTGAGGTTGCAGTAATGGTTTCCTCGTGTGTATTGAAAAAGAAAAACATGTTGCTTCAACAATTTGTTTCAACGGCAGCCTCGTGTGTAGTCAGTATTTGAAAGAATTTTTTAGAGAGCACTGAAATTTGGTACGAAGGTACATGAAACTAATTCACTACCCATACACAAAAATATCCGTAATTGAAAACGGGGCGTGGCTCCTTCCATAAAAACTGAATTGTTTTATACTGTCTATCTCTGGAAGTAGTTTGACAGAGAATTGGAACTTGGTGGAAATATAGGTGTATGAAATAAATCACTTGAAAATAGGGGCGCGGAACCTCCCAAAAAAATTTTCATACCTAGCATCTCCAGAAGTTTTTGTGGTAGAGTACTGAAACCTGGTAGAAAGGTATATAAAATACATATTTTACTTATGAACAATAGTAGTACTTAAGAACTTAGCTTCAAAATCTACTACTTACATCCTGTGGGTGCCAGACCACAGAGACATTCAAGGTAATTATGCAGCCAACAAGCTTGCGAAGAAGGACGCTATCCTGTTTGACGTCGACTTATCTCGTGCAGAGGGCATACCATTATCTACCTGTAAGACATGGCTCAGGATATACTTCGTTGAGAAGGTCAACAAAAGATGCTCAGAAGAACCCACGTGTGGGACGACTGGACATATCTGGCCCAGTCTCGACAAGAAAAGGTCCAATGCACTCATAAGGTTAGAACGCCCTTTACTAAGGCTGGTGAACGGTATCATTACGGTCCACTACTCAATGGGAAGGCATGCTAGCAGAATTGGTTTGCCGGCCAATGACCTGTGCCGTAGTTGCCGCGATGTGAATGAAATCGATAATCCACACTCTCTGTGACTGCCCTACCCTCATATTGACGCACATTTCACCACCACCGTTTTGTCTGTCTGGCCGACCTTACCAACTGGTTCTACTTCTATGTAGGTGCACGAACGCATTCGAATTCGAGCACTCAATTGGTATCACAACGGACCCACTGGGTTTAAGTTTCCTACGCTGGATAAAAGCAGCCGCTTCAAATTAACCTATGGACAATGTGGATGGTTAGTTGAAAAGGGCATGCGGCACCTTTTACATATATTGACAATTTCAGCAGACATATACTTATTGTAAATGTTCCGTGGTCTCTCCCATACAAGTAAAATTTTCATACAGAAAATCCCTGGAAGTATTTAGGAAAGGGTAGTGGAATTTCGTATGAAAATTTGACAAATTCCGGAGTTAATGGACAATGGACGTATATGATCTGAAATACTCATGATGCATATCTCTGAAAGAGCTTAAAGTTAATTAAATAATAAATGCAATCCAATATGATGAATGATATTTGATGGACTATTTTCAGATTGTTTTCAACGTTGTCGCTTCAGTCAAATTCAACGAAAAGCTCAGCGATGCAATTGATATAAACGTTTTAGGTACAAAGAAGATACTTGATTTATCAATGGAAATGAAAAACTTAAAGGTATTAATATATTTTATATTTCTATTTAACAAGAATCTGTGGGGCAAAAAAAATTATTTTTTCACTATGAGAAAATGGGCATATTTGCACATTGGACTGGTTAAAAAATATCGAAAGTTTTTTAAAAACCTCTTGTCGTCAGCGAAGAAAGCGCAGCCCTTAATATTAATATCTAAAGGTCGCACATGCGAATTCCTTTTATTTACACAAATAGCACAGGAAGGAGTCAACGTAGTGGAATGAGCGGTATATACTCTGGAAGAAAATTGAAATTCTCATAATTTTTGGATAAATTTAATCCTACAAAAGTTATTCAAGGCTAAAATCGAGCATATACAAATTTATCGTTTTTTTTTTCAAATTTTCGACGATTCTTCATGGAAACTTAGTAATTTTATTTTTTGTCTCAATAATATTTTGCAAGGGCCTTAAAAAAAGAAATAGCCCATATTTTCGAGCCAGTCTAACGTACATACATACTACATATGTAAATAGCTTTTCTGTGTTTTTCTTTTCAGTCACTTGTACACATTTCAACACTTTATTGCAATTGCAACCGGAAATTCATCAAAGAGCGGGTATATGAAAATGATATTGGCTATGAAAAAATAATGCAGGTAAGAGAGTAAAGGGTGGTAGGAAATATATTTGTTATGCATACATACATAAATAATTTTAACTGATTGAGAAAATATACGTATTTATTATATGTAGATACATATAGTATAGACGTGCAAGAACTAAAACAAGCGAAAAAGAAAGACATTAATTTGTATAAAATCTGCAGTTGCATGAAATATAAAAAGCATGCGGTTCGTGACTAAATTGAATTAAAATATTTTAATTGATAAAAATTTCGAATTTAGTTGGGTACTTGTGTTTGTATCAGCCAATATTTTATATATGCATTTACTTACTTGCATACGAGGACATATAAAAAATAAATTTGCTAAATTTTTGCACGTTCAATTTAAATTGATTTTAGGAAAGTTTGCCGATAAAATAATTAAAAATATTTTATTGTTTCAATAAGGTACATAAATACGCGGAATCTAATCTCACTGGTAAAGGAAGAAGAATTTAAAATGGCAAAATTCATTAAAAAGATTTTAAAAGAAATCTAACTGCCGGATTCTTGTAGCGCTGCGAAAGTTGCATATGGATTTTTTTTTTTTAATTTCAAGTTAAAGTTATTAATAAAAAAAGATTGAACCCACCATTTTGTATTTTAAACTATTTAAAAAATTATTTGTCTATGGGAAAACTGAGAGGTAGCTCAGAAAAAAATCAAACTTACAAAAAAAAAAAAAACAAACGCGCATACAACAAAAAGTTAATATCTCTTATGGAATTTTTGTTGCAATAAACTTTATTTAATAAATAATTTATTTCTTCAACCATGCTTGTAAATAGATTTATCGCATTTTTGACGATGAGACATTGGAAAAGTTTCGCCATTGCCTGATCGGTGATATGCCCAATACATATACGATGACCAAGAAATGTGCTGAAAATTTGGTTAATCATCGGGCGTTCTACTTGCCAGCTGGCATATTTCGACCACCGATCGGTAAGTGAATAATATATATGTATATATATCTGTTTCCAACTACCGCACATACATAGTAAGTATGTATCATTAGAGCGTACAAGAAAAAAAGTTTGCCGTCCACCTACGAATCTAAAGTATTTTGCAAACCAATTTCGAAAAATTTTATTATTTTTTAAATTGTTCGTCATATTTTTGTGATTTACAGGCGGATCTTAAAGTAAAGCTCACCCAAAATCAATTAACCTTTGCTAAGGAAATATTTCTATTACACCGGTGGCACTATTTTAAAACAAATTTTTATTGCCCAAGTGTAGCTGTCATCGAAAAATAAAAATGCGACCCCCAGATTCGGCAAAAAAATTTTTTTTTCGAAAAATACTTTAGATGCAGAGGCGTACGGTGGACTTTTTCCGACACACTCTAATGTACGTACATACGTACATACATCATAAGTTTCAAGGCTTTTTGCTATTTTGAAGGGGCAAGTTCGTTTGCCCTCTCAACTGAAATTTTACACCCCATTTTCTGTTGTGAAGTAATGGTTTCAATAGGCCCATCGGTTTCTGATGATTAAAATCATCTTAAAGAAAGTCCGTGATCTGAGCGAGAATACTGACGTCTATAATTGACCCGTAACTTATGCCCTGCATTTTTTTTGAACCTCTATCTAAATATGACGACGCTAACCCTGGTCGTGTATAGTTCGTCGAAGCGACAAACATGAATTTATAATTCGCTATATTATTATTATATTAAAACCATAAGACTTTTATGAAAAAAGTAAGCAATGAGCAGACGAAACCTGTTTTAATGTAAGGTCGACCAGATTAGAACTTTTATCTGAGGTTTAGGTCTTGATGAAAGAACCTTAAGTCTTACGCCGCCTCTCGCAGGTTGGCCATAGCATACCAAAAGCTACTACGATGCTGCTCAGACCAGAAATCGAACCTGGGTCCCATAAGATCCACCACATAAATTTCTGAGAAAATATTTGTATTTTTTTCAAACTTTATTCGCATAAAAGGCTTAGAAGGACAAAGGTCCTATATAAAAAGTGTTGAAAAATATGTATAACTGGAAAGCACAAAAGTAAATTTTTTACAAAATTGTTAGGGTAAGGGTATGTAATAAATACATATGTATAATAACTTATATTTTTATATGACTTTTACTTTTGGGGTTTTATTGAGATTTATATAAATAGATAATTGATGGCTGAGATTTAAAAAGATATAAAAATAAAATTTCGGCGCAAAACTGCGGTTTACTAAAGTTACACAATTCCAATCAAGGGTTAAAAGAAACAGCATAGCTAGTGAATTTACCATGAGTGCACTAATCGATCTGGTAAAAGAAGCTTTCAAAGTGCGTCCGGTCATATTTAGAGGCTGAAGAAGCATCAGCCGCGACTATGACTTATGCACAGTGTTGCCAGAAGCGAAGATTTATCTTCAAAATGAAGATATATTTCATAAATTATCAGAAAAATCTTCACATGAAGATAATTACAACAAAATAAAACCCCATACAAAAAATTTTCACCGTGAACATATCTGGCAACACTTGAAGATTTATTTCTTTGATAGTTGGTTAGTTCTTGGATAGTTCGTTTTTATCATCAATTTACCTTGCAGTACTGGTAGATATTAATATTGATTTTTATGAAAATGTTTTCGTTGTTGATTTTGCCTGTCAAAATTCGCGCTCAAACTCGAATTTGTGCAGCTCAAACTCGGCGTTATGAATTTCCACAAGATAAAAATTATGGATCGATATTTGTTTAAACGAAAAGTTAAGTAATTTTGGTTTCTAAATTTAAATAGCGAGGATGAATGCATAGATCCGGAGAGAGTTTTGCCTCAAATAAATTTGAACAAAACAAAAATTCGTAATAAGCTGGAAACCACCACCTTAAGTGGTATTCTTTATACAAAGGATAGTTTAGAATTTTTTTTAGCAAAATGTGTTATGGTTTTGTATAACAAACAAAATTTTAATAAATTGTTACAAAATCTTCAATAAAGATATTTCTAGAGAAAGAAAAAGATTTTATTCTAGTTTCACTAAGCTTTTTATGGGTTTTTTGAAGATTTATCATCACATGGAAGATTTTTAACAAAATTTTTCTGGCAACACTGCTTATGCTTTCTCTAAGAAGGAGGGATTTATGTGAAATTAGAAGCAAAACGGCAAGACTTTGCTGTTTTTTTAAATTAAAAAGTATATGAATACGTTGTCCGCAGAAAAACTTTTAATTAAACGTTAAGGCACTGTAAGGTTTTATTGAACAAGATTATTTAATAATAATTTTTTAGTGAGTAACGATTTCGCTGGCTGGCGGCAATTAATGTTTTCCTTAAAAATTTAAATTTTCAACATTATTTCATATTTTTTATCTTAAACTTCTTTTATATTCGCCATTTGCCGATTCGAGAATGGCGCTTTTTTCCTACTACTTACCACACTGAAGGTAATGCAATGCTGATATTTGAAGGTAAAAAAAAAAAAAAAATATCCAAAACTTTGTAAGCAAATTTACACTTCAATGACATAAATGTCCCATTGGACACATTTGTTAGAGATACGAAATTTTTGGAGTGCACAAATGCAGCAAAGCACAAAAACGAAAATGCAGGCTTGCAACAATGAGGACAGAGTTTGAACAAACCATGTACTAGATAAAAGCCAAACCGACAAGGTAATGCACAGCAAAGTTCTTGAAATATAAACAGAGATAAATACATATATTCAAAGTTGCAGAATTCAAAACACAACAAAGCGCGCAAATATATACATATGTATGTACACATTTGGTATAGAACAGTTAAGTCAGGAGAAGTTTGTTGTGTTTTGTTTGAGAATTGTTTCTTTAAAAAAAAATAAAAATTTAAGTATATAATTCACTAGATATCAGTATAAGTATAGCAATCATTGAAGCAAAAAGCAAAGCTCAAAAGCAGCTATGGAAGATTACGACTCCATAGAAATTTTTACTAGTTTCTGTCACTATTAAATGAATATCTGGGAATACCAATACAAACAAAGAATAAAAAAAACAGATTAGAACTAAAAAAAATTAACACACACGTTCAAGCGAACTGTGTGTCTGCTAACAGAGTTGAGATTTGGCTACCAAAACAATTTGTTGTAATTTAGAACCTACGAACTTATACAAAAGCAACGGTAAATACAGTTATCTAACTATCGCTTGTGATGCACCGGATCTTTAGCAATTTGCATGGCGCTCAAGTTG